TATATAACTCAGTAGGCCTTTAACTGGTAAAAAAAAATGAAAGCGTCGTCATTAAATCCTTTATATTAAGTTCACTTGCTTGCTTGCGCGTTTACGACCGTGCAAATCTTTCGGTCGTTTTTTTAACCCACTTCCCGTGATCCAATCGAGCTGACATTTTGCACACACACTCGTTGTGCGCGACAATTTATTTTCGTGAAATTTTTTTCTCCATAACTTTACACTTTTTAGGATTTTTTTTGTATATTTAATTACCAATTGCTTAATGGTGGCAGGCAATCATCTGACCCATAGGTGGCAGCCATCTCAAGCCAGAGAACGAGAGGACTCTAGCCGCCACACATATAAAGGATTTATAGTTAAAAACTTTGTTTTTACGGGTTAATTTTTTTCCATCTCAATGTCTCACCCCCCACACACCCACCCCACGTTGTGGCGTTTGATACCAGATGAGAGATGATACAAAAAAACTAAAATGTTAACTCCAGATTCTAGAGCTTTTGTTTCGTTTCTGTTATTATGTTTAAATCCAAGGGAAATGGCACTGTAATCCGTCATGTTGTTTGTGCTGGTGTCAACCTTCTTTCATATCCTTTCGTGTGTGTACCTGAGTCGTCTCGTTAACAATGCACTTTTTAAAAAAAAATACAGCAAGGTGGGGGGTGGGAGGCGGCGGGGTGGGAGGAGGAATCCGAGAGCCCCGGGGTTTATTTCACGCACCACGGATCTCCCTTTGTAAAAGAGCCGGGCAAAACGTGGCTAAAAGGGGCCCGGTCACACGTGACGCCAATCGAATCAACCCAAACTCCCCAAAACGCGCCTGGCCGACTGCTTCCAAACAGCTCGCGGACGATACTCAAATCCCTCACTTGCGTGTTCGCAGCGCGACATCGCGCACCCGGACACGAATTTGACTTTGCCTGCCAACAACCACCGTCTATGATAAAAACGTTTCTTTTTTTTTCCTCCCCCTTCATTTTTTTTTCTCAGACGTGTTAAGAGGGCCGGAATTCGCTCGGCTCACCCGGCACCGCCCCATTGAACCGCTCCCACGTGGGTTCACACCGGGTCCCCCGTCCGCGATGCTCACCACAAATCTGTTCACCACTGCAACCTCATTTGCCAGTAAAAAATTATGATAGATATATGTTTTTTTTATCCTTTTATCTGGCAACAAAACTGACACATTTTTTTACAAGGAGTCATGTTTGCATAGACCACAATACCTTGCAGTCATAATGCAAACAAAAAACATAACTCTGATAATGTATGCACTGTCCTTGAAGTTGATTGGTCCACACCCGAGACAGCTTTCCTTAGAGCCTAGTCTCACATGGGTTGGACCAGATGACGCCAAAAGACGCACTGTGGCATCATCTGGTCCAACCCATGTGAGACTAGGCTCTAAGGAAAGCTGTCTCGGGTGTGGACCAATCAACTTGGACCAGATGACGCCAAAAGTCGCACTGTGGCATCATCTGGTCCAACACCATGTGAGACTAGGCTCTTAGGAAAGCTGTCTCGGGTGTGGACCAATAAACTTCAAGGACAGTGCACATACATTATCAGAGTTATGTTTTTTGTTTGCATTATCACCGCAGGTATTGTGGTCTATGTAAACATGACTCCTTGTAAAAAGGTGTCAGTTTTGTTGCCAGATAGAAGGGTAAAAAACCAATTATCAAGTCTGTTCACGTTTGCAAATGTGTTGAGTCTCATCCCCCGCCACGAGTGCAACGGCAATAACAACGATACTTTGCAATAAAGTGTTTTGGGTTAGATCGCGTAGATATAAATGTGTCGTTGCTAACCCACCACCATCCAACGCAGCCAATGAGTAAGGTTTGTCGCGTAAACAGAACGTGCCGATTCGTTACTAGAACAGCACACCGGTGTGTTGGAGAGTAAATTTACAACATTTACAATTTGAGTACGACGTTTCGCTGGTGATTACAACCAGCTTCATCGGGCCAATTTTTGCCAGAATTGTGAAGACGTCTTCTCAAAGCCTATGCGTTAAACTAATGTACCTGCCAACCCCTTATAAGTGCCCTACCTTATTACAGACCAATTCAGATCTTATTGGTCACCCCGTGCTCTGACAAATCTCAACGTGCATCCTACAAAGTCCCATCACAAGGGAGAAACACAAACAAATACACAATTTGTTGCCCGTATTGAAACGGCTGTATGCCGTATGGACCTGAAAACTCAATTTCCCTGTACAAGAATGCGGGTAAATCGTATGGGTTGACAGCTATGAACTAACCGCTGTGTAATTTCAACGTTGGGTTCAGTCACTTCTGTCACTGGCAATGGACCAATGCAGCAACCAATACGCGTGGCTGCCCTCTAAGTGAATGTTGTAGTTGCTTGCCCAAGGCATTTTAAAGTCAAATTCAGCCCTCGGTGAGGATAACGCTTCACAATTCCTCACTGATTTAGAGGTAAATGTAAGTTTCGAAATGTTACAGTTGTTGTGGTATATACAGGATGTTCTTAAGATTGCTGTGTGTTTGAGAAGCAAGGTGGTTCGCGGAAGAAGACACCATTTTTAGGATTTCCCCTGCACAAGTGAGCATTGTGGCAGCGCTAAGTAGTGGAAATTCCACGATTACATGGCGGGGCCAGTTTATCCATAGGACAATTGCTATAGACTTAGAAAAGTGGTACAGTACAGTATATACAATAACTGAAAGTAGCATCTGTCTTACCAAAGGCTATATTTCAAAAGTTGTAGTCTGAAAAGCGATTGAGTAGCGTATATTTTGAAAGTGTTTTTTTTTTTAAACACAACTTAAAATTTGCCACGTTGTTAAATATATACACACACATCCAAATTTTACAAGAACAATTGGAGTTTTTCTTTTGTCTTCCTATCTAGAGATTGATATTCCACACATCTAACAACACTCGCGCTCCCTTTCTCTCTCTCTCTCTGTAAGGGATCACTGCCAAACCGAGGCCATTACGCTGTGACCCACAGGGCAGTCCGTTACAACAACAACAACCAAAATAATCATCCGGTTGCAAAATGTCCACAAAGTCGATCCAGGAGCGCTCCGTGTGGTTTTGACCGTCGACTTGCCACCTGCTCTGCTTTTGTTGTTGTTGTTTTTCTCTCTCTCCCAGGATCGTCGCCTCGCTGAGGTATCTCTCCCCCGGGGAACACCTCGTGAGGTCCCGGTGCTCTGTCAGCGACGTGAAGTCCTCCTCCTCCCTACTCCTCTTCCTCCCTCCTGCTTTACCTCCCTCCGCACGATACCGTCCAGTTTGTGTGTGTGTGTTTGCGTGACCTCAGACGCTTGAGAGACGAGAGCCGTTTAGCAGCGTGCGGCTCCGCGTGGTGCTCAGGTAGTGGTATCATTTGCCGCCGGGCTTTCAAAAATACAATTAAAACACAAACCGGGCATCGCTCGGACAAATGTGCATTCAGACATCGGTGTGACGTGTTGCATTAGCGCCACGCGCGTCACTAACTCGAGTCCGTGGCTCCGCACGCTTCTTTGCGTACTTTTGAGCCATCGTTCCATGTTTTTCCCCCCTCCCCTTTCCTTTGCCGGCGTCCCGACGTTTCGGAGCCACCCGCCGGAGCGGCGCGAGGGGACGGCGTCGTTGGCGTGCGGGCTCCATCCAGCAGTGGGTAGATCACGGCTGACGATGATGACGATGGCGACGACGACGAACTCAAGTCCGTTGTGTTTGGAGGCGGAGCATAATGACAACAACGACGACGACATCGCAAGGGACGCAGCGACTTGCCGTGGAGCGAGAGACGTGAGCGGGCAAGCTCCGCGCACGTGTTTATGCCCAGCTGGGTTCGCTGAACCTTTTCCGCCAACTCAGAAGGTGCGGGGTCCGAGTGCGGGCAAGCTCGTGCCCCGTTTTGAGTCTTGCCGCTCGGCGTGAGGTCGCGCGGACCGCGTTCTGCACGGAGTCGGTCCTCGCGAGCCGCGAACGCGACAGAATAAAAAAAGAGAAACCCGCGCGGGACAAAGTTACATTCGGAATCCCGCGCTCGGGGCGACGCGCGCTCTTTTGCGCCGTTAGGACGAGCAGCGGCACGTTTAACTCCCGAAGCCGTTTCGCTCTCACGTGACGCAGCGAGCCATCCACCCCCAACTCCCCCCCACCCCCAACTCCCCCCCACCCCAACTCCCCCCCACCCCAACTACCCCCCACCCCAACTCCCCCCCCACCCCAACTACCCCCCACCCCAACTACCCCCCACCCCCAACTCCCCCCCACCCCAACTCCCCCCCACCCCAACTACCCCCCACCCCCAACTACCCCCCACCCCCAAATAAACCCCCACCCCCAACTCCCCCCCACCCCAACTCCCCCCCACCCCCAACTCCCCCCCACCCCCAACTCCCCCCACCCCCAACTCCCCCCACCCCCAATTTCCCCCCACCCCCAACTACCCCCCACCCCCAACTCCCCCCCCACCCCAACTCCCCCCCACCCCCAACTCCCCCCACCCCCAACTCCCCCCCACTCCCAAATCCCACTACCTCCAACTCCCCCCCACCCCAACTCCCCCCCACCGCAACTCCCCCCCCACCTCCAACTCCCCCCCACCCCCAACTGCCCACCACCCCAACTCCCCCCCACCCCAGCTACCCCCCACCCCAACTCCCCCCCCACCCCAACTCCCCCCCCACCCCCAACTCCCCCCCACCCCCAAATCCCACTACCTCCAACTCACCCCCACCCCAACTCCCTCCCACCCCCAACTCCCTCCCACCCCCAACTCCCCCCCACCCCCAATTTCCCCCCACCCCAACTCCCCCCCACCCCCAACTCCCCCCCACCACCAAATCCCACTACCTCCAACTCCCCCACCCCAACTCTCCCCCCCACCCCCAACTCCCCCACCCCAACTCCCCCCACCCCCAACTCCCCCCCACCCCAACTCCCCCCCACCCCAACTCCCCCCCACCCCAACTCCCCCCCACCCCAACTCCCCCCCACCCGCAACAATCTCCCCCTCACCCCCCTTCGTTCCATTCGTTTCTCACCCTCTCGCTCGCTCTCTTTCCACCACGTCGCGCTCGCAGGAGACGAACGAGGATGTGGAATGAGGCATGCGCACACGACCACGACCAAGACGACGCGAGCACACGCGGGGGGCTTTCTCACGACGGCAAGTCCCATTTATGAATTTCCCAATAGGACAAAAGATTAAAACGCCACACGTTTAACCGAAACTCGCTCGAGGTGTACGCGAAGCAGACCCCCCCCCCCCCCCCCACGGGGAACGTCTCGCGAAGAAGCAATGTTTTTGGTGACCTTCCTTTCAGAGAGGTTCGATTTTTATATTCTTGGTTCTTTCGGTAAAGTCACGTAGAAGGGAAATAATAAAATAAGAAAAATATAAAACAGTAAAAATTCTCACGACGTTTCGACCGCAACGCAAGCAATCGTCATCAGGTGTGAAATCCACAGCAAGAACATTTGAAAAAAGTGGCAGGAAAAACCGCCACTTTTTTCAAATTTTAAATCAAAATTTAGGTTCGATTTTGTTTTCTTTTTGCTTTGCGTCGCGCGACGTCAAACAGACGCCCTGTCTCCCACGATCGAGCCATCTCCATCGCGGCTTCGTGGACCCCAAGCAATCCCGTCCTTTGGGATGCGCAATGCCACGCGCGGTCTGTCGCTGCGAATGATCTCAAGCCTACGGAGACACGCACCTCTTCCAGAACCTCCTCATCCCCCGTGGCGCACAAACACCGTCCGTGAGCAACAACGTCATCACTGTCATCGGTCGTGATCTCAAACAAACCGAACTCTCTTTTGGAAAGTAAAAAAAAATTCAACCGTTATTTAGAACTCATCCCTCCAAATAAGAAGGTCAGATTATACGTAAGCCTCCTCGATCCATATTGTGAACAGACTCAGCTTGTGCGGAGCCGCATCTCAGGACGCAGTTGCATTTAGTTGCAATGTAAATCCAAATTGCATACCACGGCGTTCATACTTTTGGTAAGCCAACGAGGGTTGTCTTGTGCGTACACCGGTCGCTATTGTGCACGATTGGAAATTCCACCACTGTCCTGGGAACTGCTGACGAAGATGAGGTATGAAGACACGTCAAATAAGTATAACCCGTAAAAACAAAGTTTTTCACTATAAATCCTTTATATGCGTGGCGGCTAGAGTCCTCTCGTCCTCTGGCTTGAGATGGCTGCCACCTATGGGTCAGATGATTGTCTGCCAGTATTAAGCAATTGGTAATTAAATATTTAATTTGTTTTCCCTAAACAGTGTAAAATTTTGGAAAAAAAAATTTCACGAACATTACTTGTCTTGCACAACGAGTCTGTGTGCAAAATGTCAGCTCGATTGGATCACGGGAAGTGGGTTAAAAAACGACCGAAAGATTTGCACGGTCGTAAGCAAGCAAGCAAGCACGCAAGCACGCAAGCAAGCAAGCAAGCGAACTTAATATAAAGGATTTAAAAAAAGATCATACCAACAACCGATTCACTCTTAATGCGTCCGATCGCATTAAGCGGCGTTGAGCATGGTTAATAGTTATATGGGAGGGTGACCTGGGATTGCCAGGTGTTGCAGTCTTTGGCTGGGAGGTGGCCAGAAGATTGCGGTACAGCAAGGGATTATTGAATGTATCTGTGCGGAGCTCTGCATGTGCGTGCGTTTTCTCCCCGGGAAATGCGGTTTAACCATGCCATCGTTAGTGGCCAATAATGAATCTAAATGCAAAAAAGTTATTAAGTGTTTATAGCATTAAATGGTAAGTTGCAAAGGCTGGGAACACATCCTCATACTACTAACGTTATAGGTGATTCAATGTACGACGTTTGAATACACAAACGAAGCTCCAGGCGGAATCTACAATCAGTATAGTGCTGGGACATTAGGTCAATGAATGTGGCGTTGATTAATTGGACGTGCTCTTTATGATCATCCTTTTGTTTGGGAGTTAGCAGCTGGTGAAAGTTGTACGTGTGTCCATTTAACTTCTTTCGCGCCGTACGTAGCCAACCGTGTTAATCGGAGGTACGCGGCTGGCTACCGTGATTCATCCCCGAATGTCATCCCCGAATGTCAGTAAAGCTGTCACGGATGTGTCACATCTGTGTTTTCGTTGCTTGGGGCTATTGGTACAACAATGACTGCACAGCGAATTAAAAAAAAAGCAATCGCGTTCAAATTGGTTCTGCACTTAATTTTGGCTAAATTCCAGCTCTGCGAATGAAATGATCGGTTTGGCCGTCACGTGACAAATCTCACTGTCACGTGCAGAGGCGAGTGGGAAAGTGATGCCCCCTTCTGAGTGTTGTGTGCCGCAGAGGTCAATTGGAAGGTATTGCAATTTACATGATGGCCCAAAGAGTCAGAACACACACGGTTATATTTATTTTAACAAATCAAATAGGGTTATTTCATTTAATTTAACAACCGTTCAAAAACTGGCTTCCATTAACACGAATGCACGCATGAGTTCCCTTTTGAAATTAATTTAACACTTAAAAAATAAATATATTACAGCTTCCTTCTTTAGCACACGTAGAAACTAATTGAACTCGTTCGTCTTTGGTCAATTTTCTTTCCATTTAAATTTTTTTTATCTGAAAATGTAAGAAAAAAACCCCGTGATATTAATAACGATAAAGGTTCAATATTAACTTAAAATATTAACATGGTCGAGGTTTTTTGTTGCGCTACATCTCGTAAAAAGATAATGTGCCATTAAACCCGCCACTATTATGAGCTGTAAGCACACTCTAAGCAAGCGATAAGCAGTGTCGGGTTTAACGACACATTTATAGTAACGCGATATCACCTAAAACACCTCTATTATGAATTATTTGGTCGCGAAAGCCTATTTCGTGTTAAAACATAACAATTCAAATGCTTTAATGCCAGTGTTAAAATAAATGAAACAACCATTCGTGTTCTCACTCTTGGGCCACCCTGTAAGAAGCAATCATTGCCACACAACTTTGAAAACTCCTGAAGAAAGATAAAGAAATTGCCACAAGCCTCAGCGACGCTTTTCAGAACATTGACAACGAAACAATACAGGTTTGTCACGTGAACAGAACATGTCAATTCGTTACCAGGAAAGCACATCGATTGTGTGCTGGAGAGCAAAGCCACAACATTAAAAATCTGGCTGTCGCCTGATGATGTTAATTGTAATTACCGGCGAAACGTCGTACTCCGAATGTAAATGTTGTGGCTTTGCTTTCCAACACACCGGTGTTGCTGCACTAGTAACGAATTGGCCACGTTCTGTTCACGTGACAAACATTACTGATTGGCCGTCGGGTGGTGGAGGGTTTAATGACACGTTGATATATTTACACGATCTAAGCCCAGAAAAAAAACGATGCTATGGATGCTATCGGTCGCGAAAGAACGACGTGTTAAACTATCAAAAACAAATCTCAGAAATTTCCCTTTGATATGCCACTTCCTTGGGATTGACCTCCAAACACGAAGAAAGGGTCTTGACTACGCTAAATATCCAAAGGCGATAAGACTTTGTCTTGTGACGACGGAGAGCGCAGTCTGCTGCGTAGAATTGAGGATTAAAAAAATTGTATTTTGTTGCAAAAATAATGAAAAGATGACCTAAATAGTGTGCTCCAGAATGTTCGGAATTACTGTCAAGGATTGTGTCGCACATCTGAAAATAGCCACACACACAAAGAAAAAGATCCCCCGTATAGCCTGTAACTGACTGTTGGGGCAAGTGCTGTTAGCGAGCACTTATGAAGGTCGGCACTGCACACGAGGAGGTGGGTGGCCAGCACCACGCCCGGCCGCCTTTGTCTCCCCAGTGGCGATGCTTACTCATTCGAGGTTGAGTCGACCTAAGGGGAGGCCCAGGACCGGTTCAGATAATCGTCACCGGCGTAGGCCGTGAGCGGAAATCGACCCCGGGTTTGCCGGGTTCGTAGCGCAGCGTGGTGCTAACCGCTACACCACCGCTCCCCACCTCCACACAGACACGCGCACACACACACGCGCACACACACGCGCGCGTTATTATTATTTTACTTTTTTTTTCGTGCAAAATTTATTTTGATCTATGGCCGAGGCCTTGCAGGAGCGATTTGACTGGCTCGGTGGGATTGCCTAAATTGGCAGGAGTGCTGTTTGCCGCAATGCGAAGTTGTCTGATGAGGTAATCAATCAGTGCCCACCGGCAAGCGCGTGGCAATTTGTGTTTGCATCCCCTCGACAGCTCAAGTCTTCCAGAGGACGGGGTCAAAGGGTCATACGCGCAAAACCTCGCAGTCGATGGCGGGCGCTATTGCTGGAGAGAAAAAAAACCGCAAGCAAAAAGCGCGGGGCCCCCAAGAGGCTCAGGGTAGAACCCAGATTCAGGAGAAGACCAAATAAAGCCCCCAGGCGTTCGCCAAATATCAGCACCGAATTCACATCCACTTGCATACAAAATCCAACCAACACGACATCTAATTAATCAATCTCATCTCAATCTTGTCTGTAGCGTCATTCATCTCACTACATCTCTGCCTTGTCTGCGTCTCTCTCATCTCACTACATCTCTGCCTTATCTGCGTCTCTCACATCTCACTACATCTCTGCCTTGTCTGCATCTCTCTCATCTCACTGCATCTCTGTCTTCTCTGCGTCTCTCTCGTTTCTCTACATATCTATCTTGTTACTATCTCTGTCATCTCACTACATCTCTGCCTTGTTTGCATCTCTCTCATCTCACTACATCTCCGTCTTGTCTGCGTCTCTCTCATCTCACTACATCTCTGCTTTGTCTGCATCTCTCTCATCTCTCTACATCTCTGTCTTCTCTGCGTCTCTCTCGTCTCTCTACATCTCTATCTTGTTACTATATGTCATCTCACTACATCTCTGCCTTGTCTGCATCTCTCTCTCATCTCACTACATCTTTGTTTTGTTTCTATCTCTCTCATCTCACTACATCTCTGCCTTGTCTGCATCTCTCATCTCACTACATCTCTGCCTTGTCTGCGTCTCTCTCATCTCTCTACATCTCTGCCTTGTCTGCCTCTCTCTCATCTCACTACATCTCTGCCTTGTCTGCCTCTCTCTCATCTCACTACGTCTCTGCCTTGTCTGCATCTCTCATCTCACTACATCTCCGTCTTGTCTGCGTCTCTCTTATCTCACTACATCTCTGCTTTGTCTGCATCTCTCTCATCTCACTGCATCTCTGTCTTCTCTGCGTCTCTCTCGTCTCTCTACATCTCAATCTTGTTATTATCTCTGTCATCTCACTACATCTCTGCCTTGTCTGCATCTCTCTCTCATCTCACTACATCTCTGTTTTGTTTCTATCTCTTTCATCTCACTACATCTCTGCCTTGTCTGCATCTCTCATCTCACTACATCTCTGCCTTGTCTGCATCTCTCTCATCTCTCTACATCTCTGCCTTGTCTGTGTCTCTCTCATCTCTCTACATCTCTGCCTTGTCTGCGTCTCTCATCTCACTACATCTCTGCCTTGTCTACATCTCTCATCTCACTACATCTCTGCCTTGTCTGCATCTCTCTCATCTCACTACATCTCTGCCTGTCTGCATCTCTCTCATTTCTCTACATCTCCGCCTTGTCTCTATCTCTCATCTCACTACATCTCTGCCTTGTATGCATCTCTCTAATCTCTCTACATCTCTGCCTTGTCTGCGTCTCTCTCATCTCTCTACATCTCTGCCTTGTCTGCGTCTCTCTCATCTCTCTACGTCTCTGTCTCTTGTCTGTACATGATCTCTTCTGCCTCACTCGGGGATTTACTAATTGAAAGGGGGGAGGGTTAAAACATAATTTCTGATGAGGGAGTGGGGGGCCCAATGGGATGTGTGTACGCAACACACACCAGCCGTATGTTTGTGTGTGTATGTTGATCTTCTTTTGCGCCGTACGTAGCCAACCGTGCTAATCGGAGCCGTGTGAGCAAAAAGCACATGTGGTTTACCCGCGCACAATCGCAACACCGGGTAGCGGTCTGGTATGCGAATCACGCACACACCTGCTCAGGTACGGGCACGCGCAAGCTCGCCCTCTGTATCTCTACCACTTAAAACTAAACTATAAATATTTTTTATTTTATTTTACCAGGTAAAGGCCCACTAAGCGACGTGGCTCTTTTTCAGAAGCGACCTGGCCACAAGTGATAGCTCAACGAAGTGGCTCGTCGTCATCGTCCGTGTGGAAATTTGATCGCAGCGAAACACTCGAAACGCGTGATGTCGATACGAAATGTGTGGAGGGAACAACCGGTGGACCTGGAGAAAAATCCACGCAACCACAGGGAGAGAGAGAGAGAGACCATGCAAACTCCAAATAAATACAGCAGGGTCGAAGTCGAACCCACGACCACCTGCATACCAGGCGAGGTAGTCAACATATCGCCACCTACGGCCTTGCTAGTGCATTGCCAAAGAAAGGGACGTGGGGGGAGATAGGCCGGACGATGAATGACGTTGAATAATACACCGTGTTCGGCTTTGGGAGGTGAGAACGGCAGAGCAAGACGATTTCATCCGTGCAAAATAAAAAAAAACCCAAATTGCCCTGCATGAACCACGCCGATTTGGTGGTTTGCGTAAGAAGGGGGCAGAAGCACTCATGGCGCAGCTCGTCGAGAAACACGCCGAGACAAATATGGTGGGAAAATAAATAAATGGTAGCACTTTGTGTTTCTTGAGATTGTGCCGTTAGGCGCAATAACAACAAAAAACAACAACAATTAAAAAAAGATGCCAATTCCTCCCGGCCGACACCCATCCACCACCCCAGAGAGAGAAAAAGAAAGAAAATCCCGGCTCAAGTTATTGGGTGCTTGCAGCGCGTATTATTAGTGGCGGCGTATAACAACAACAGCAGCAGCAGCAGCAAACAACAGCGACGGCGATAAAGAACCAGCCTCTAATTCTTCATCCGGCGGTTAAGGATGAGAGAACAGGGTTCAGGCTTTTGACGTCTGCGGCGACACCTGACGCTTTGGTATTTCCCGGTGCCCTGCCGCCCTTCATGCCGTCGCACAAATCGGGCCCCACAAAGTTTGTCGTCGTTCAAAATGTTCACGCCCAACTCGGTCCATCAGACAAAGCCGCACACGTCGCCCGCATGTGTCCATGCCCCACCTCCCCCTTTTGTATCATCTCCCCCCAGCTCCACCTCCCAGACAACATCGATCGCACTCCCGCTCCCTTCACCGCTTTCGTGCCATTTTAATAATCCCTCGATAGGTGACAGCTTCCCTACCCCCCCGTCGCGCTCACACGCCTGGTTTAACCTCTTGACCCATCTCCGGCCCCGTGTCACCCAGCCGCCACTTCGCTCAGCGTCCCGCACACCACCGCCAACGTCAGGTCCATCTCCAGCACCACGGACAGTTTCGGTGGGAGTGGAGTGGTGGGGGGAGGGAGGGGAGGCGGGAGGGGGGCAATGCGTGGCACCCCCTGCTAGTGCGCACAACTGCCCTCCCTCCCTCCCACTCTTCCTAACATTCCCTGGATATTCCACAGCGAGCCGATGGTGGGAAGGGAGGGCAGTGGAGGAGGAAGAAGAAGAAGGTAGTAGTAGGAGCAGGAGTGACGGGAAGGCGGGCTTTCATCCTCAGACAAAATACTCCTTGTCCTTGCCGCACGGGCTGCTAGCGCCAGTGTTTGCGGGCGACGTCTTGGCTCCCTTAGCCGGGGAGCCGCCGCCGGCGGTGGCCGTTGCGGCGCCGTCGCGAGACCCGCCGCCGCTGGCCGTGCCGCCGGGCGTGCCGTCGCGGCTCTGGTACTTGTACATGGCGTAGAGCAAGATGAGGATGCACAGGGCGGCGGCGGCCACGATGCCGGCCACCATCCCCGTGGTGCTGCCCGACTCTGGCACGGCCTCGGCGACGCCCGGAATTCCCATGGGGTCCTCGGCCTGCGAGCGGCAACGGGCACAGGGTGGGGTGGGGGGGGTGGGGGTGTTCGCTCCCGTTCAGCCGCACGGCCAAAGCATCGCGGTGGGTCCCGTCCACCGCCGGACGGCGCAAGCGGTTAAGTTTATTTCGAGAGGTGCAGCGCCGCTGTTTGTAAACAGACATTGTTGCTGTTACTCACCGCAGAGAACTGTAGCGACACGACAGTAACTCTTTCTAGATTTGAAGTTTCCCTGACTGCAAGGATGTATAGTCTTTGGTTTTTTCGGTAAAGTCACGTAGGTAAAAAATTTAAATAAATTAAATCATGACGTTTCGGAAGCAACACACGCTTCCGTCATCAAGGAGGCTTGTGTTGCTTCCGAAACGTCGTGATTTAATTTATTTAATTTTTTTACCTATGTGACTTTACCGAAAAAAACAGAGAGTAACTCTATGATAGCTGGCCCCAAAACGTGCCACAAGCCCTCCCGCGTGGCCGTTTGCTTCCGATTCCGTTTGGAATCGATTCAATTCCATTCATAGTCGATTCCGTTCTGATGACGTACACATACGTAATCGTAAACGAAACTTGGAAGAAAAACTGATGACGTACACGTACATAGACGCACGTCATCGAGAACGGGAAAGGGTTAATCACCGCCTGCAACCGCTTTGTCCACATCTGAGCGAGGAGTTGTGCAACAGTGACGTGTCTGGCCATGCCCTCAACAGCAGAGATCCACCCCATTCCTGGTAAGCTCACCTACTAAAAAAAAATACTGGTAAATATTGATGAAATCCTGCATGTGAGAAAAAAACGCAACATTTTCAGAGACAAACGATGACACTGCATCGAGAGAAGGTCGTTTTGCAGTGACAATACTGACTGCTCCGTGTGTGTGCGGATGTTGAACTTATTTCGTCACCGTACGTAACAAACCGTGCTAATCGGAGGTGCAGGGGAAGAGGACATCAACCTAAACACGCAAAACAGCAGCTAGGCTGCTCAAGCACGGTGATTTTTGTGAACGCGTTTTAAATGGGGACGATTGCATTTCTTCTTGAGCAAAAAAACTTTCCTGGGGGATGTGAAACAGCGGCACGTGACCGGTAAATTGAGGGCAATGAATTGACAATCTGGGCGAAATTCTATGGGTGGGGGGGGGGGGATACTTTTCTTAACGAAACAGGTGGACTTCTCCACAAATCTGGCTGTCGCCTGATGAAGCTGGTTGTAATTCCTGGCGAAATGTCGTACTCAGATTGTAAATGTTGTGGCTTGGCTCTCCAATACACCGGTGTGCTGTACTAGTGACGAATTGGCACGTTCTGTTTACGTGGCAACCCTTACTAGTTGGCTGTGTCAGGTGGTGGCGGGTTTAACGACACATTTATATATTTACCCAAAAAAAACCCCTCTATTATGGATGATATTGGTCGCAAAAGCCTACGTGTTCAACTAATTTCCCCTGTTAGCAAAATACACTTTTGTCCCCCGGCCGAAAATAATGACAGAATTTAAGCTTCTGCCTAATTAAAGGCATGCCTGTTGAATAATTACACGAAGCTCTACATATAATCTTCATTGTAACTTTATATCAACATATATAATTAGTTATATTGTGAGCGCAGCTGTTGCGATGATTATTTTGACATCGAGAAGTAAAATAGTTTGAACGTGGGTCAATTATTTGAAAATGCACACTCGGGGTTATTCCAATTAATTAATTCTCGCTGTGCGATATGATTGCCTTGCACTATATATGTACTTTAAACAAAAATTAATGGTCAAATCACCATTTCTTCGTGTTGTAAAACACTGTGTAACAACTTTTTTTCGTTCCTGGGTAGTAAGTGTTAAATCCTAATTGCTATACTTTTGAGGCATACGCAATTAGAAAACGCCACTTACTACCCAGGAACAAAAAACGTGTTATATAGTGAAATCAATCCTAAATATTAGTTGATAATAATGGAAATGTCAATTTCATTTATGTTTTCTTCCACGTTGGCTACGCTATTTTAACAATCTGTTGGCTGTACCTTCACCTTCTAGCGCCCCTTAATTTTAACGAGCTTTGTCACATTTGGAAGTTTGCTAATTCAAATTCTCGTCAAGGACCAACTGGGCACATTATCACCACCACCACCACCATTATCATCATCTCCTCATCAATAAAGTAAGAACCAATCTGTAGAATGTTAACATTGCCAAGTTCTGAACCAATAGATTTGAAAATGCCGTACGACCATTTCCTGGCCACATTGCAAGCCTGCAACACTCTGACTATTCCTACACATTTCGATTTAAAGCTTTCGTGACTGTAGGGATTCATCTTCTTGGTTCTTTCGGTAAAGTCACGTAGAATGGAAATAATAAAATAATAAAAATAAAACATAATAAAATAATTCTCACGACGTTTCGGCCACAACGCAAGCAGCCGTCCGGAGGTGAAGAACAGGTCTGTCGAGAAGACAGAGTCCGAAAGTTCTTCACCTGAGGACGGCTGCTTGCGTTGTGGCCGAAACGTCGTGAGAATTATTTTATTATGTTTTATTTTTATTATTGTATTATTTCTATTCGTACACAGTCTCCCGTTGAAGTACTAACCAGGCCCACGACCGCTTAGCTTTGAACATCTCACGAGGTCAGGGACACGAAGAGCGTTTCGCTCATAGGCGTTTAGAATTCTCTGCTATCGTGAAATGAAGCACTTTAGAGAAGATGGGATAAAATAAAAAACATCCTTGTGGATAAATACATACGTGACCTTGCGCTGCATTTGCAATCACAGTTGCGTGTGTTGTGCACGCCACACAAGTGTATAGGGGCAAAAAAACACAACACCATTAAATTTCGATTTAAAGCTTTCGTGACTGCAGGGATTCATCTTCTTGGTTCTGTCGGTAAAGTCACGTAGAAGGGAAATAATAAAATAATAAAAATAAAACATAATCAAATAATTCTCACGACGTTTCGGCCACAACGCAAGTAGCCGTCCTCAGGTGAAGAACATGTCTGTCGGAAAGACAGCGTCTGAATGAATCCCTGCAGTCACGAAAGCTTTAGATCGAAATTTTACCTTTCCATTGTGAGCCGTTTCACCGTTACCCGCTGAGTCACCAGGCCATCATTCAAATTATTTAGATGCATTGGGGTGCCGTGGTGGCGAGACGTTACGTCCCTTGCCTGGTATGCAGGAGGTCGTTGGTTCGACCCTGACCTTGACGCCTGCTGCTGTATATTTGGAGTTTGCATGTTCTCATGTTCTCCCCGTGGTCGCGTGGATTTTTCTCCAGGTCCTCTGGTTTTTCCCTCCACATTTAGAATCATGCGTTTAGATTATTCGGCTGCTATAAATGTCCGAGTGATAAGCCACTTCGTTGAGCTATCATTTGTGATAGTCAGTTCGCTTCTGAAAACGAGCTTATATAGCTCAGTGGACTTCATCCGGAAAAAAAGGTTGGAAATGTTGGAAATTCCAAGACCAAAAATCATGGAATGTTATTTCGAATTATCAGAATAGTAGGATAAATTTTCCCCAAAACACCTTTGCCTGCCCGGCTGCCTTGTTTGGGCAACTGGCACAGTTGATTATGTATGGCATTTCAGTTTTATATTGTACAATGACTGGGCAGCAGACCTGAAAATCGATTGTCTAAGGAAGGCAGGCTTGTCGGAGTCAAAGAGCCTGCCTCTTAATCCCAAGGTCCACTGGTTTGAGCCCTGTGCCACCTAAATTATTTCTCTGAGACGTTCTCAAAAAAATTCTGGCCAGGACCCCTCAATGTCACACACACACACAACAACAGCAACAACAACAACAACAAAGTGTTTGTGAGTCTGGCCCAATTGTGATCCTTGCACAAATAGCTAAAGCTCTGCAAATACCCCCCTACACACCCCTGCCATTTTATAAGCATTCACAAGACTAGATTTATTTTGTTAAAACTTCATTCTGACCTAACCTGCCACCACCTTCCTTCTTGCGTTGTTTATAAGCTGTCATAGCCTATTTTTATTTACGCGGTATTTTCAGATCCTTGCTTGTGAAGTTACACGATTCACTTCTCCGTTCCAAGACTCCCAATCTGCCTCTCCGCTACAGCGTTTACCCTGGTGAAGCCCTAAATAGCCATCATTATTCAATCCACATCGTGCGTGGTGACTCAGACCATTTTACTTATCTGAGTTCTGACATGCTGAGACGTGTAATTTGTACGATATCATAATCACTAGATCACAGGACTGGCTTGGTGTGACAATAGATGTACGGTGTACTGCATTGTTCTAATAAAGAACAAAAGAAAGAAAGGCCAAGTGTGTTTAAAGAGATCGCCAGTAGTTTCATCAGAACCTGGTCAACGGCATTGCCATAGCATGCATTATATATTCTTATAATGTCATTCTATTTTACTTGTTTTTGTGTTTCTAAATAACTGCCTTTACAAGTATTAAACAACCATATTCTTGCGTACAATGAACAACTCAAATACACACAGCATATAAAGGTGCACATTCAATTGAATTGCAATTAAAACTGGACTTCCAAATTATTGAAGTAATCGATTACGCTGCCGATTACTGATTCGATTGTTCGACGAATCAGATGACTGGAAAATATTTGGTGGGGGGAAAAAATAAATCTCGCATTTGTCGTCAACCATGCCGCTGGACGGGAGGTGATGGGCATGGATTTATGATGTCATCGGCATCATCAACGGCGTCATCGGCATCATCAACGACGTCAGCGGCATCATCAACGATGTCATCGGCATCATCAATGACGTCATCGGCATCATCAACGACGTCATCGGCATCATCAACGATGTCATCAGTATCATCAATGATGGCAGTGACATCATCAACGATGTCAGCGACATCATCAACGACGTCATCGGCATCATCAATGACGTCATCGGCATCATCAACCGCGTCATCCTTGTAGGGGGTTTCCCACCTTGTTTGTTTTCTATTTCATTTATACCTGATGATGATTGCTTGTGTTGCAATCGAAACGTCGTATGCTATTATTTAATTTATTATTTTCTCTTTATACGTGACTTTACCGAAAGAACCAAAGCGTAATTCCTGCAGTCATGAAAGCTCCAAATTAAGTTTGAGCTGTCTCTCTCCTCTGTATTATTATTATTCGTTAACACAGAGGCTTTCGTGACCAATAATATTCATAGTAAAGTTCCGCTGGTGATTAACAACCGTGAGGCTGGTCGCAGTCACCAACGCAGCGTCAGGGTATCTCATGTTGTAAATGTTGTGGGTTTGCTGTACAACACATCACTGGTCAGTACTGAAGCGGTAACTAATTGGCACGATTTGTTCACGTGACACGCCTTACCTGATTGACTGTGTCGGGTTGGTGGCGGGTTTAACGACACATTTACATTTACGCGATCCGACCGAAAAAACTTTATTGTAAATCATTGTTGTTGTTGTTGTTGTATTTGTTTATGGTGGTTGGGGAGGCGACTTCAACATTTGTAAACGTGAACAGACTTGTGGTGAACGAACGAACGAGGGTCTATGGGAGGTGCCATGTGTGAGCATTGCGAACTCTGCCCTCTAAAGTCTGGAAATCGCTTGGGACGTAGCGAAAACAAACTTACCTCAAGTCATATAACTATAGTAGAATTCCTCTTAAAGACCACGACTGTAAACGATGCATTTTTTAACGATGGGCCTCCATGGAGCCTAATGTGTAGTGTATTGTAGTGTATAATGTAGTGTATAGTAGTGTATTGTATAGTAGTGTATAATGTATTTTATTTTATACCTACGTGACTTTACCGAAATAACCAAAGAGTATAGTGTATAGTAGTGTAGTGTATAGTAGTGTAGTGTATAGTAGTGTTGTGTGTAGTGTATAGTAGTCTAGTGTATAGTGTAGTGTATAGTAGTGTGAAGTAGAACCCCTCTTAACGACCACCCCTGTGTTCGCTTACTGATCATTCTGCTGTTAACGGCTGGCTGTTGCAGGTGTAGTGACGTAAATGGAGTGACTAGGGCGCTTAGCGCCAGCTGTCACAAGACTGGAACTGTGGGTGAGAGAGAGGGCAAGTGAGGACGTGGCAGTCTGGGTGAACCCGAGAGGACACGTGACCAGGACAGGGTAGCGAGGGGGCCCAAAGGGTGGCTTGAGGAACACGTGGTGCTTGGTCGAGAACCTTCTGGTGAGATCCAGAAAGGGGGCGTTGCTGAAGGCGGAGCGAGGCCACGCCTCTAGAGAGCATAAAAGGGAAGTCCCGAGAGCAATCATGGCTGTCTGCTGAAATGGTACCCGTCGGTACTACGTCTCTTCGATCTTAGGTCTTCGGTCTTTTCGGTCGGCATTGCGGGTCAGGCAATGAGTTAGCTGACTGACCCGGTTATGTAGTTACCCCGTTATGGTCTAGTTAACCAGTGTACGTTTATGTAGTTACCCTGTTGGGGTCGTGTAATAAACATGTTGCCTCTAAGTTCAAATGTGTGCCTCCGTAGAACCCACTACACAGGTATCGTAAATATTAATTAATGCATTGATTAACCATGTTTATTTTAATTGTATGTGTTTTATAATGGTGTATGTATCGTTATGTATTAATATGCATTGTTTAAATATTATAAAGTACGTTTTTTGGGTGAAAAAGGGTAACTTTCGATGCTATCCGCACGAATTAAGCCTTTAACGTGTATTTCCTATACTCGCTTAACGACCAAATCACTTAACGACGGGTTTCGTGGAACCAATTGCCGTCGTTAAGAGGGGTTCTACTGTATGTCGCTTGCCAATTTATCGCGCGTTACACGCGGTAAAGCGGCACGGGATGATTATCGCCGCACGCGGACACGCCTGTAAATGGAGCCACTCAACAATTTGCGACATGCCACACGCGGTAAACTGACGCGCGATTTTTCACGCCTCGGAGGAATTTAGCGGAACGAAGGAAGTGACGACAAGGCACCGGTGGCATCATCTGCAGTGGCCGCGGTCGACCTCTTGACCTTGGCCTGTGAAGTCGAACTGGAAAAACCCCACCGGTATATATCAGAGCTCACATTCCCCGACAGCTGGAGGTGGTTGATGAGCCATCAGGGAGCAGATGAGCTGTGGCAAAGTGTGCCGCAGCTCAATCAATCGATCAATCGATTGACATCTCTTTGCTGGTCCCGCAGCGATCAGTTCACCAGTTTCTGAGCAATAACCACCACCCCACGACCCCAGGATTGGCAATACCTACACAAGTATTGCTATGCTATCGTCAAGATCCTTAAAAAAATACCTTTATTTTGATATTTCATGGTGACTCTGGGAACAATGGCAACCCAATATTTTCAATCTGGTGACAAAATTACCCAGAATGCACCCACAGCACTCTACAACTCCTGTTTTATGCATGGTACTGAGTAAATATAAACACTCAATAATTGACTGAAAACATCTTCACTACATAGACGACTGCAAAGCTTGAGAAATTGTTGGTAGTGGTGGCTCACTGCCTGGCTAATGCTGCCTTCCAGCTCGTTGTGGTTCCTCGGAAATCATGAGCGATGCAATTTGCATCTCGCAATCGACTACACTGCGTAAAACTACCATTATTTTTATTTTTTTAATTGTACCAGGAAAGGCTCACTGAGCTATACATAGCTCTCTTTCAGAAGTGACCTGGCTATCACAAACAAAAGCTCAACCAAGTGACTTGTCATCACCGTGTGGAAATTTATGGCAGCCGAATACTCTAAACGCTGATTCTCAATGCGGAGGGAAAACCCGGAGGAGCCGGAGAAAAATCCATGCGACCAAGGAGAGAGAGACACACAAACTCCAAATATGCACAAGGCTTCAGGGTCGGGATATGCATATATGTTGAACTTCTTTCGCACCGTACGTAGCCAACCGTGCAAACTGTACGAACCGACGAAGAGAGATTTAGCCGTTCGCTCACTGTGCGTGCGCGCGTGTGCATGTCCGTGTGTGTGCGTGAGAGTGGGGAGCGGTAGTGTAGTGCTTAGCGCGCTGCACGACAGACCTGGCGACCCGGGTTCGATTCCCGCTCATAGCCAACACCAGTGACGATTATCTGAACCGGTCCTGGGCCTCCCCTAGGTCGACTCAGCCTCAAATGAGTACCTGGTGCAGTGTGTAAACATCGCCACTAGGGAGACAAAGACGGTCGGGCGTGGTGCTGGCCCACCCACCCCCTCGTGTACCCTTCCGGCCTCCATAGGTGCTCGCTAACAGCACTTGCCCCTACACTCTGTTAAGGCTACACGGGGGATCTTTGTGAGAGTGGGTAGGGGGACCACCCCTCCCGACAGCTCACCTCGACGCCCGCACGCCGCACCGTCGGGAAGGTGGCGTTCAACTCGCCGTAGCCGCGGCCCTCTTCGCCGTCTTCCGCCGCGCCGTGCGGCGGCTGCTGCTGCTGCGGGTGCTTGGCCTCGTGCGGCTGTTTCACCTCGTGCGTATTCATGTTGCCCACGTGCGGCCGCAGCGCCACGGGCGTCAGCGTGGGCGCGCCGTGGCCCGCAGTCGACCCGACAGGGGCGCCAGTCGACCGCTGGGGATCTCCGTCACCGCCGCCCCGACCTCCTCCACCTCCTCCTCCTCCCGCATCGCCGCCGCCGCCTCCTCGTCGACCGCCGCCGTCCCATCGAGGAACGTGGGTCCTGTAGCTCCCCTCGTACGTGGCCAGGGACATCGTCTTGCCTGCGCACAGGTGACGCAGAGCGCCGGACGTTGAACGATCGCGCCGAGGAGGAGGATTTCGCGGTGTCTTTGACGTTTCGCTCCACGCGCCGTCAAGAAGTTAACGCGGTTGCTGAAGAACCTCCCGAGCTCGCGGAGCAATAAGCCGGAACATCGTGTGCCGAACGACGCGCGGCACGAACCCCACAGACACATCGGAGAGAGCGATATTACTCAACAAGTTCAGAAAAATGGGATTACGCAATGCACTCGAACATGCGCTTGTATCTGCAAATATTCAAGGGCGACAGATAGCTATCGGTGCCAAGTGCAGTTGGTATATTTGCAAATAGCCCATTGGGATGTTTGGGTAATGCTACGAATGCGTGTTTGGTTTCACGTAGGAGCACACCATAGTACCTGGAGAAAAACCAATCACACACAACAAAGGGGAGGGGTGGATTGCAAAGTTTCCGCACAGACGAGAGTTTAACCCATTTGCTGTGCTTGCCATCTTCTGGTCACTTCTCAGCCCGCGACTAAAACAACCGGTGTTCCCAGGACGTCTACCGCTGCACGTACCAAGTCAGGATCTTATCTGCTGAGCTTCTGAGGACCAACGGGATCAGACGGACTGGGGTTATTTACTCCGAGGCTTGATGACGATGACGATCATCCTTTGCCAGTACCAAAATATAATAATGAGTTTTTTCCCCTTTTTCTCTGACAAAACTGAAATCTTTTTTTACGAGGAATCATGTTTACATTAACCACAATACCTGCGGTCAGAATGCAAACAAAAACACACTGATAATGTATGCATTGTCCTTGAAACTGATTGGTCCACACCTGAGACAGCTTTCCTTAGAGCCTAGTCTCATACGGTTTTCGACCAGATGACGCCAAAAGGCGCACAACTCAAAGACAATGATGATGTTTGATGACGTTGCAATGATCTGGAGCAGGAAAGGGGATCCATTCCTTGACATTACACGGGCATCCGGAGTACCGTGCGGACAATCTAAGCTCTGTTGGGTGATGATAATGATTACGATGATTGGTAATGATGATTATGATTTATGATGATGGGCAAAGCGATAGGAATATAATAGTTGTCAATTTTCACAGGAGCTAGCACTCACTCCCTGTAAGTCGCAATCACGTCAGAAAGGTTTTAGCTCGTTAAGGGCTTCACTTGCACACGTGTGTATGTGTGTATGTATGTGTGTATGTATGTGTGTATGTATGTGTGAATTGGCACAGCAGGGGGGCACAGGTGGTGCATCGGCCAGCCACCTCAGTCAGCCAACCCATGGCACCTGCTGGTTCTGTCCCGTGGCCTCCTTGCCAGCAGGCGGGTGACACTTCACGTGGCCTTAGCGTGCACGTAGCCTGGCACAGGCGCCGTGGTGACGCCACCGCCACTGAGTGGCGAATGGCGGTTGTTGTTGTGAGAAGTTATGGGCAGCAGTAGGGTAGTGGTCGTGTAGCGGTTAGCGTGTCGCGCTACGAACCCGGAGACCCGAGTTCGATTCCCGCTCACGGCCAACACCAGCGACGACGTTTATCTGAACCGGTTTTGGGCCTCCCCTAGGTCGACTCAGCCTCAAATGAGTACCCGGTGCAGTGTGTAAAAAATCGACACACGGGAGACAAAGGCGGCCGGGCGTGGTGCTGGCCCGCCCACCCTCTCGTGCGCCGTGTCGGCCTTCATAGGTGCTCGCAAACAGCGCTTGCCTCGACAGCCTGCTCAAGGCTACACGTGCGAATCGTTGTCTGTTGTTGTTGCACGCGAGGAATTAACGCGCAGCGCCAGTGGAGCGGTGAGCGCGTGGCGCTCCGAACCCGGCGACCCGCATTCGATTTGCTGCTCATGACCAATAACAGCGCTGAGTGTCTGAGCCCCCGGTCCTGGGCCTCTGCCCTCGAGGTCGACACTTGCCTGGAACGAGCGCTGTGCCTGGCGCCTCGTGTGCAAACATCGAACAGAGTGGCACTCGCCAACAGCGCTTACCCCCCAACAGCCCTGTTAAATCTTCTTGGTTCTTTGGTTCTTTCGGTAATGTGCACGGGCATATTATGGCTTTGAAACCCCCCCGCCCACCTCCTACGCATTCCACAAGTAATGACTAATCCCATATCTGCATTTCCCATAAATGTGCTAAATTCCTCTTGATATGCAAACTATTTTGTCAAGGCGCTCTTCCCCCTCCAACCCAGCTTAAATACACGCTCCAAGCCTGGTGGTGTTTCATTCAGACGCTGTCTTTCCGACAGACCTGTTCTTCACCTGAGGACGGCTGCTTGCGTTGTGGCCTAAACGTCGTGAGAATTATCGTATAATGTTTTATTTTTATTATTTTATTATTTCCCTTCTACGTGACTTTACCGAAAGAACCAAGAAGATGAATCCCTGCAGTCACGAAAGCTTTAAATCGAAAAAGCCCTGTTAAAGTCTACAGGAAAGGCTGGGAGGAGGGGCCATATTTTGCCGTTGTCTTTGCGTGAGATAAAGCATCAAAGGCAGGTAAACGCCCTGCTCGCACGAAGCAACGTTTTTCTTAGGTTTTCTTGTAAACGACAACTTTTTAATCCGCAATAGCTTTGGAATTAAACCAACGGGACCGGTGTCTTCAGACTTCACTTTGGTCTCAGCAAAGCCGATAAGCGGTGGGGGGTGGGCGGGGGGATCTTGACGCGTGCGAGTGTGTTGTGCCCTCCGCTGTTGCCCATTGTTGTGCCCTCTGTTGTGGCCTCCGCTGTTGCCCATTGTTGTGCCCTCTGTTGTGGCCTCCGCTGTTGCCCATTGTTGTGCCCTCTGTTGTGGCCTCCGTTGTTGCCCATTGTTGTGCCCTCTGTTGTGGCCTCCGCTGTTGCCCATTGTTGTGCCCTCTGTTGTGCCCTCCGCTGTTTCCCATTGTTGTGCCCTCTGTTGTGCCCTCCGCTGTTGCCCTTTGTTGTGCCCTCTGTTGTGCCCTCTGTTGTGCCCTCCGCTGTTGCCCATTGTTGTGCCCTCTGCTGTGCCCTCCGCTGTTGCCCATTGTTGTGCCCTCTGTTGTGGCCTCCGCTGTTGCCCATTGTTGTGCCCTCTGTTGTGGCCTCCGCTGTTGCCCATTGTTGTGCCCTCTGTTGTGCCCTCCGCTGTTGCCCATTGCTGTGCCCTCTGTTGTGGCCTCCGCTGTTGCCCATTGATGTGCCCTCTGCTGTTGCCCTCTGTTGTGCCCTCTGCTGTGCCCTCTGTTGTGCCCTCTGCTGTGCCCTACGCTGTTGCCCTCTGCTGTGCCCTTTGCTGTGCCCTCTGCTGTGCCCTACGCTGTTGCCCATTGATGTGCCCTCTGCTGTTGCCCTCTGCTGTGCCCTCTGCTGTGCCCTCTGTTGTGCCCTCTGCTGTGCCCTACGCTGTTGCCCTCTGCTGTGCCCTCTGCTGTTGCCCTCTGCTGTGCCCTCTGCTGTTGCCCTCTGCTGTTGCCCTCTGCTGTGCCCTACGCTGTTGCCCTCTGCCCTTGCCCTCCTTTGCCTTTATGCCCTCCGTTGTACCCTCCATGTGAAATCACCACAGCGCTTACGCGCGCTCCCCTCTGTCCACCATCCGCACCCAACCGTATTCCAGATGAGTCTCCACCGACTCGGGTGGTCTCGGCCCGCTGAGCACTCGGACATCAAAACGTGGAAGCGCGGCCATTCGAGGCTCGGCGGTACATGCTCCATACGAGCTTGGGAGGAGGATACAGCGCCGATCAGGTTTCGGTTAAAACGTCTCTCATCCGATCGCCGTGGAACGGGCGGAAGGTGGGAGGGGAGTCCTCGGGACGGATCCCATAATCTGGGTTCATCCCAGAGAGTGACTCGTTTTTTTTTCTGCACAGCAAAAAAAAGTGCGGATGAAATTGAATATATTCGTCAGGTTTCTTGGAGTTTTGGGGCCGTTTCCTTCACCGAAATCTCCGTGCCGTGCTCTGTCCACTTATCACTGCGCCGAAGCTGCGTCTTTCACGACGGGCCACTTTTGTTGGGCTATCATTTGTGAAAACCAGGTCGCTTCTGAAAAAATAAGTTCACACCGCAGTGGGCTTTGCCTGGTAGGATGGGGCTGGTTCAGTTTAATTTGTGTGCGTGTGGGTGATTTATTTACCTTTCTTGTACTTGGCACTGCTATCGTGTTTTTTTTTTTATATTGCGTGTTGTTGTAACGTTCTTAGCCCGTGCCCCGACTGGACATCTGTGAAAAATAGTTTTATAGCTCAACGGATTCCTCCCTAAGTATAAATAAATATTTTGGTTCTGAACTGAGGTGCCTTCCGTCTCGACGTGAATTTGATGTTGGACGCTCGGTTGGATCATGCAACGGGTGTCTATTTGGTGTTTGAACATCTTAACAGCCATTTTATTGCCAGCAAGGCTAAAGCGTCTTCTCATTGTTCCCCCCCAATCATTTTGTACTTGACAAAAAGGGTCCCTTCGATATGAATCATGGGTCCCACCAGCGCCTTGCCGTGTTCCCTCCATCGCCACCATCCTTCTACTCCTCTCATTTTCTTTGCCTGGATAAGCGTGAGTAACAGGATGAATGTTCTGCCACTTCTGGGTCACAATCATCCCTTCGCGGCAGCGACGGAAGAGGCGCGGCCCTAAATGTGAAGAACGTGCCATTGGAACACGCGTTAGACAGCCCGCGTTAAACACGCACGAGTTTTTTGGTTTTTTAGGAACGAGGCCAGCGCTCGTTAACGAATGACAAGACTGCAAAATTATAGATTTGAAGCTTTCGTGACTTGCGAGGATTCATTTTCTTAGGGTTTTTCGGTAAAGTCACGTAGGTAAAAAATTTAAATGTATAATATCCAGGGCCTACCTTGGCTCCTCCCACGCTCAACCAGTATATATACAAGGACTGTTTTCTTGGAATTTCTCTAACTTGATACAGCTATCGTGCTGTGACGGTTCCACCTGAAGACGGAAGCTTGTGTTGCCTCCGAAACGTCGTAATTTTTATTTTATTTTTATTTTACTTTTATTAATTT